TTGTGTGTGTGTGTGTGTGTTTTTTCCTCTCCTTCTTCGGCTTCATTACAAGAAGTATGTAAGTAAATCTTTGTTCTTGTAGGAGGTTATGACTTATGAGCGAATCCATACTGTTTCTTAGAACCAATCCGTACTTTTTCTAATTTTATTTTTGTTCTTATTTATTGTGGAATCAAAAATTGTTTCATGTTGTCTGATTAATTTACACCTTCAAACCTAAGCTTGGAGCAAGCTAACTGCTTCCGAAAGGAGTAAATGTTTAAGAAAATGGTATGATTTGTTGATGGCCCACAAAGAAGAGCTTGGTCAACTTATGACATTGGAGCAAGGAAAACCTCTGAAAGAGGCCATTGGTGAGGTACTTGATTCTCTGAGTTTGCTGAAACAAAAATAATTTTGGCTTTATATTTCTTCTTGGAGCATCAATATACTTGAACTGTACAGGTTAGTTATGGGGCGAGTTTTGTGGAGTTCTATGCTGAAGAGGCTAAACGAGTGTATGGTGACATTATTCCACCGACTTTTCCTGATCGCCGTCTGTTTGTTTTAAAACAGGTTATCTTACCTATGTTTTGAAATCCTCATATCTCATTTATTATAATTCTACAGCGGAGGATTGTTTGACATAAAAAGAGGAGCATCCATAACTTTGGTGTCTGTTTTGTACAACTACTTAGAGCATTCTCACAGAGACACAGTTATATCATTTTCTGAACACAAGATTGTTTAAATTTTTTATTTAGGGGTAGTTTTACTTCTACTTCTGCTTGAAGTTGTAATATGCAATCATACCTCATAAGACCAGATATACAGTTCAAGAGTAAGCTGTAAATTCTTGGACGTGTAGGGTGTTATTTTGTAACATTGTTTTGTCAGTAAATAGAAATTTGTTGAACCATTAAGTATTAGGTACTGTGTAGAATGTGTCACAATGGTAATCTGGTCAATTTATTTCTTTCTGATCTCGAACATTTTATTTTCTAGTTTGGGCTCATGTGTATATTGTTTCTTTAGTGAAATGCAGTCCTGATGTTGCAATTTTGTTACTCATGTTACCACTGCTCAATATATTGCTAAACTCTAGGAAACGACCTCCAAGAATTTACCTAATAAGCGCTAGGTAGTATTTAGAAAGTCAGTGCATTTATAGTTAAAAAAAAAATAAAAATAAAAATAAAAAACATAACGAATTGTGAAAGAATGCTGATGCTTTAGTAGATTAATTAAGGGAAATTAATTTTGAAAATTGAAATAAGTTTCTCATCCATTTGGTCATACTGTGTATTGTTATGTTCCTAATTGACCTTCCTTTTCTGAGTCAATGAGTTTGTTGTAAACCTTGTTGCTCTTTTGGACATACGTAATACTGGTAACGGAAAATTGTCTTGCAGCCAGTTGGCGTTGTTGGGGCAGTTACACCTTGGAATTTCCCTTTGGCTATGATTACACGCAAGGTTTTGGGAATTATCACCCTATATTTCAATAATACTCCATCCTTTTGTGGACAAGTTTTCATAAGAATGATGGATAATTTGTCTTGGTACCAGGTTGCCCCTGCCCTTGCTTGTGGATGCACTGTTGTAGTAAAACCCTCTGAACTGACTCCATTGACTGCATTGGCAGCAGCTGAACTCTCTATTCAAGCTGGAATACCACCGGTAGTTCTGATTCTAAGCTATTAACTCTGTATAGATTCTTGTAGTACTTTGTGTTGTCCTACATGAATATGTTTATTTCTTCCGTACAATCTGTTATGGTAATATTAAGAAGTTCCAATAACTGGAGAGAATTAAGACGGTATTGTGGTTTGGAAACACTACTGCTATTAGGATTATTCTGCTAAAATCAAGTAACTAAAGGTGCCAACTAAGACTGACCACTGATGTAACATATCGAAGAGGTGTTGTAGAGCTTCTTTTATCAGTTATGAGGCTTGGAAAGATTATAAAATCATCATATTTCAGATGCAATAGAATCTGAGACAGTGGATTGCTGGAAAAATACAACTGTTGAGCCTAACAACATTGATTTTTTTTATCTTTTATTTTTTATTTATTTATTTTTTTTATGGTTTTCTTTGTATCTCTGCTAGTCTGCTATCCTAGCTTCTCTTTTGAAATTTTTCGGTCCTTAGTCATTAATCTACTTTCTTTCCCTGTTGTTTATATCATGGTAATTTCTGAGTGATAGGGTGCAGTAAATGTTGTAATGGGAAATGCACCGGAAATTGGAGATGCTCTACTCGCGAGCCCTCAGGTTCTGATGCATTATCTTTAAATATGGATGTATTCAAAATTTGAATTTTGTATCTGTTTACTTTAATACTTTTATTGTGGAAATTGTATTAGGTGAGAAAAATCACATTTACAGGCTCAACAGCTGTCGGGAAAAAATTGATGGCAGGTGCTGCAGAGACGGTTAAAAAGGTATGGGACGACTATTTCTGGATCCTCAAACTGTAGCTGTTGTTCGTAGCTGATTTGTTTTTCTTATTTGTAGGTGTCCCTAGAACTTGGTGGCAATGCGCCCTGTGTAGTTTTCGACGATGCAGATCTTGACGTTGCTTTAAAAGGAACTGTAAGAGCAGTCTCATTTTCTAATTCTTGTGTGTACTAGGATTGGACAACTTTGACATGGTGTGTTACTTTAACACGAAACTACCATCATTTTATCGTTTTTCCGTTTACTTAGCTCAGGATAAAGTACATCACTCACTTGACATTACAAATGTAATATATATTTAATGTAATTATTCAGTAACCTAGTGCAGTCTCCCATAATAAACTTATTGGAGAAATATTTGAATGTGTTCGATTGTGTTGCCATCAGATCTGGCAATTGAACTGTATCTACGACGGCAACCTTTTCATGCATCTGTAATATGTACAATGTCTTATTGAACGTCAGTTGTCAATGGTAGATTAAATTGGTCCCCCAATGTTGTAACGTCTTTCACACGGTGTTTAAATTCATCATGGGGGATTCAGTTCAATTATGTATTTAAATCAACCACCTCGTGATTTGTTACTTATAAAAAATTAAGTAGTCTTGTCATATGTATGGTGTAAATATAGCCATTTCGATGCAAATGAAAGACCAAGATTCGTGAATTTGATCATATATCAGTAAAAAACGGATGGGTCTTTCAAGTATTTTGATCACCTTGCGATATTTATGATGAAACATTAGTATCTCAGCTGGTGTGAAGTTGCTGGTTGAGTAGTTTTATTGCTTTATATCATATGCTCAGTTTAGCGACCTTCTTACGGTAATATTATGCATTGACAGCTGGCAACAAAATTCCGTAACAGTGGCCAAACATGTGTCTGCGCAAATAGAATACTTGTGCAAGAAGGTATTCTGCAAGTCCTGTAAAATTGAACTACCTTTTGTTAATTGCATTTGTACATATTCATGTGAATATTTTTGGGTGAGAAATGTTACCATGAAAAATTCCTTTTTCAGTATTGCTAATTGTATGATAGCGATTAAAGAAGTTAAATAAGCTTGAAAGATATAATTTCTTCTACACAGTTCTATCTGCTAAATCATGGTTTTAAGGAAGCTAAATGCATTTTTTTATATTGTCCCTTCTCGTTCTCTTGATTTTCTCACTTAATCTGCCTTGTCTCATAAATTCTCATTATGTTTTTACTGCTCCTGTCATAATAATTATAATGATCTTTCTTGTTTTTATTTTTCGATTTCTTGTTGTAGGTATATATGAGAAATTTGCACATGCCTTTTCAAATGCGGTTGAGAGCATGAAAGTTGGGAATGGCTTTGGGGATGGTGTGGTACAGGTAGTCAGAAGCCTCCGTATTTATAACATTTATGACAACGTTGTCCTACTCTATTGCATACAGTTAGCAGGTCCACAGTTACTGTTCTCATTGCTGAGGTAGAACAGAAATGATATTGCTCAACTTTTATCTTTTATATTTCTTGCAGGGCCCTTTGATAAATGATGCTGCCGTACACAAAGTTAGTTTTCTGTTCTCATTTGCAATTTATGTTATACAAATCTCGCACTTTACCTGTAAATGACCATGTTAGAGTTGACTTGCAGGTTGAATCGTTGGTCCAAGATGCCATCTCAAAGGTTGGTTTGTTGCTTATTGATATTATAGATGCTACAATTCATTCTCCATGAGAATTCAATGCAATTGTTGAAACTTGTCCTCAAATTTTAGTAGAACCTGTTTCAGGAAACAGGCTATTATGAAACTTTTAATATACCTAACTGCCACATATTAACTTATGGACCGGGGGGAGGGGGCTGCTTATTCTAGCGAAAAAAGGCCTGTCTGGAAAGTTAAGTGAAAAAGTTTCCAATCCTTTCCCAGCTAAATGATAAACTATGGAGACTTACAAAGATGAACTGTTTTATTAGCTGCTGAGGGCGTTGAATCGTTGAATTACTATTAGGTTTAGTTGTTGAGGAATTAAGTACTCTGATAACAACATGGAAGACGACACTCCACTATCTTTGATCATTCATATTGCGTGGACTGATAAATTTGTTTTTTTGGTTCAAGGGAGCTAAAGTCCGCATTGGCGGCAAGAGACACAGCCTTGGAATGACATTTTATGAGCCTACGGTGATAACTGAGGTCAACAGTGACATGCTGATATCAAGGTAATGTTAATATGTAGGCAAAATTAATCTGATAAACAGATTTCACATCTGTGTTATTATAGAGTCAACACGTAGTGTAGTTGATGCCTTAGGACAGAAAGATGCACGCTTGTCTTTTTCAGATTAGTGTAATCAAATGGTGGCCATGGCGTGGCGGATTTTTGGCCTGCCACCATTCACTGCCATCAATAACACTGAACTCAATTCATCTCAATAAAGTCTCTGTTTTTATCTATTTATTTCTTTAGGTCTTCTGAATTACTGAGTAGAGCATAAGACAAATGAAATAGATCAATCATGTTCATTTGCCTGTTGTCGTCAATCTAGAATTGTGCTGCAATTGAAAATAGATAATTCCATATGGTTATTTTTGTTTTATCTTGGTAATTGCATTGATCGTTTTTAGTTTCGTGGAAGGTCAAATTGTAATCATCTCATTTGATGTTCTGTATTTCATAAGATATTTCATGAACTAAATATTTGTGCTTCTATGTATTCACATGTATCTTATATATGCTCGAGTCTCAACTGTTTTGTTTCTTTAGTTAAACAACTATTTTATTTTCCCAATTCAGGGAAGAAGTATTTGGGCCGGTGGCACCTCTTCTTAAGTTTAAAACCGAGGAAGAAGCTATCCGCATGGCCAACGACACCAATGCAGGTAATTCTGGAGAACCTAACCCTCTGTGATGAAATTCAAAAGTAAAAACATCTATTGGTATGACCTTGTGATTTAAGGTGCTTCTTAAGTTCTTTGTTTTGATTGAAAAAGAAAAAAAAAATGGAAACATAAAAATCTCTTATTCTGTAGGTCTGGCTGCCTACATCTTCACAACAAATATTCAGCGATCTTGGCGTGTATCTGAAGCTCTTGAGTATGGGCTTGTTGGAGTGAACGAAGGACTAATCTCGACTGAGGTTAATCTTTTCATATTGAGAAATTTGTAAAATCAAATGGTTTCATCATTTATTGACACCGTCTTTTCTTTTGATGTAAGGTGGCCCCATTCGGAGGGGTGAAGCAATCTGGCCTTGGCCGCGAAGGGTCAAAGTATGGGATGGATGAATATTTAGAAGTACGTAAATTATGATCTCTCTCTCTCTCTCTCTCTCTCTCTCTCTCTCTCTCCCTCTCTCTCTCTCTCTCTCTCTCTCTCTCTCTCTCTTAGTACGTTCTATTTTGCCATGTCTTAGTGTAACTCTCAGATGAGTTGACTATATATGTTTGCTTGCAGATTAAATATGTATGCTTAGGGAATATGAGCTGATCTGTCGGTTTTAAGGTTTGTGCTCGAACTGTATTCCACAACTTTGCTGCTACGTACAAAGATCAATGCAAAATTTGCTCTTTCCTTATTTCTTTAAATTCGGACGACAAAGAAATTATGCAAATGTTTCCTCTTCACTGAAAGCAGTTTGCTTTGCATTGTCAAAGCCGGAACACACATGGTTGACATGGAATTTGGCGCCAGCTTTGTGTGATGGTTGGATGATGAGTGTTCAAAATAGCCAGGCCCAGGACCCGTTTTCTTATACATATAAATAAGTGCCTATTTGTACTATTACCCGGAGACAAATGCTTTATGTTGTTTTTGCTTTGTTTTATCACATGAATTTTGAGAAAAATTAAAAAAAGTTGAGCTCCTCCAAAAACCTAATCTATTTGGATGATATGGTGTGCTTTTTCTTTGAGACCTTTAATGTTTTTATTCGATAATCCCAACCCCATTTCCCAATAAGAATGAAAAGAACATGGAAGATTTGAAAGTGAAAAGAAAATCGTGAAAAATAGCAAAATATTGACCAAGAGGAATATAAAATGGAGATATATATATTATTGGGAGATGTTACGGAATTATTCTGTCGATGTTTGTAATCGTCGGGAATAGATGATCTAACGGTTACAAACTCCGACGGAATGGTTCCGTAACGGGACCGTAGCATTTCCCTATGTTATTAACCATAGTCTTAATTAACCACAGTAAGACTATCGTTAGATATGCTAAACGGTTTTAATTAATTGAAAATGTTGTAACATAAATATAATGTAAATAAAATTATGACTTTTTAGTGTGAGTATGTATTGGCTGTCTCACTAGCATGGCCCCTGCGCAAGGATGACACGCATAAATCGAGAATCAAGGTCCACTGTTTCTTTTCTATTTCTTTTCCTGTTTATTTCTGAATTTTCACTTACTTTGTCAAAACGTGCTGTCAATTTATAGTTGATATTTTTTTATTGATTATTTATTATTTTTAACATAAATAATAAATAATCAATAATTTGTTGACTATCTATTACTTTTAACATAATGTTTGTTGGGTTGCCTGGGGGCGTCTAGAGTAGGGCTGCAAACGAGTTGAGCCGAGTCGAGCATTGGTTTTATTGAGCAGGATTAAATTTTTTTTTGTTGCTCTGTCGAGCTCGATTTATTAGGCTCGAGCTCGACTTGATTAAAAAATACAAGAGCTCGAGCTCGGTTTGAGCTCGACTTGAATTCAAAATACTCGAGTTCGACTCGAGTTCAGCTCAAATTTTTTCAAGCAATGTTGTAAAATAACCATTAAATACATATATATACAAGGGTATTTTAGTAATTTCATATATCTCGAGCCGCTCGACAATGTAAAATATAGGGTCGAGCTCGACTCGAGTTCGTGCTCGAGCCGCTCGAGCTTGACTTTAGGTCAGTCAAACTCGAGCTTGAGCTGAGCTTTGATTCGAGCGCTTGCGAACGGCTCACGAGCTGCTCGACTCATTTGAAGCCCTAGTCTAGAGATTTAACTGGGTATTAATTGACAATTACATAGTAATAGTAATGCTTCTTGAATTTGCAAATGGATGGTCGTGAATTTGGCGCTTTCTATTTAAGGTTGGCATTTTCGGCTTTTGAGATAAAAAGGACGCCTTTAAAGAAGGCCTTCAAAATGTGATGGTCCAGAGGAGAATCCGATTCCTGCTTAAACTGAGTCATCCGAGTTGACTCAGTTCCCATCTTTGCTGTTCTGTCGTTTAGGACAATAATGGCGTTGGCAGATTCTAAGTTATATGATATTGGGGAAATGCTACAGTCTCGTTACGGTTCATTCCGTCGAGATTTGTAACCGTTAGATTATCATGTAATCGTCGTGAATAGTTGATCTAACGACGTTACGGGACCGTAAAATCTCCCATGATATTGTGTCTAGGCCTAGGCATGTTTGCATGCGCAAGCACAGACAGACATATATAGTAGCTGTGGGGAACTTGCTGGAGTCGATCTGGTGGGACGTCCTTTGGACCCGTAGTAAATGACTCTGGTCAATTCCGATCAAAATCCAATCTTCCAGTCCTTGACCCAGTTGACCTGGGCACATTTATGGTTGGGTCAACCTAATTTGCTCCTCTATTATTTTTTATTTTTTTTTTGTTTTAAAAAAATTATATTTACGTGGCAAATGTATGGTAAGATACAATATTATTTTTCTTTTAATGTATAATGTTTACAATTAACTTATTTATTTTTGTTATTTTTATATATTTTTACAAGACATAATATACATATAATATATAATTTAAAATTTGAAAATTAATTAGTCCTTCAATAATTTGACCTGTAACCCAACGATTAAACCGAAACCACGTTTTTTTTTTTTTTTTGCCACGTATGAGTGAAGACTTTGATAAGCAAATATCCATATATTTATGTGAGTGAATGTTATCCAAACTATTAGAAATTCGATGTGACCATTGAACTTTGAGGTATTATTGAGTGAAGTTGAATTGTGCACTTTTTGTTTGAGCCTGGGCTCATTAATAAATTGGTCAACTCGGCTCGACTCATTTAACTATGCAAAAGTTTGGCTCGACTCGTTTGAACCAGGGCCGTCTCCAGAAATTTGGAGGCCCCAGACAAGTTTTTTTTTTTTTTTTTAGAATTTTCCCGATTTTAGCTTACGTAATAATTAGGCTATTTGCAAATATAATCATAAATTTAAACGAGACTATTAAATAAATAAATAATTGAAAAAAACTATTTTTTTTGTTTTTCTTGAACTTGGAATTGATAGATTACCTCCTGGTTACAAAGATCTTTAATATATTAATTCAACCAATCACGAGGACAACAAAGAGAAGCAAATAAAAATCATATCACTACAAAGAATATTTATTCTCACACAACTTGTTCTGACTGAACATCATACGAAAACTAATGAAATATTTAGGTCCTCAATTTCCTACACAAATTACATATTTCTTCATTAGCCCTTCATTTGTGTAAATATTGTGTAAATAGACAAAATCAAACGCAAATACATAATATTAAGAAAATAATGAGGCCTCATTTGTATTGATAGATAAAAACACGACACAAATACGTAATATTAAAAAAAAAACATGAGGCCCAAATAAAATGGAGGCCCTAGGGATGCCTAGGTTGCCTCCCCTGGAGAGGGCCTAGTTTGAGCCCAAAGAGTTTGGGAATTTGATTTTTTTCATATTCATGTATGAACATATTAATTTGTAACATATTAATTTGTTTTATTCCATCGAAACATGCATACACAGTGACGGATCTAGGAATTTCGCTCAGGTGGGCTCGATATTAAATGTTACTAACGGTGTGTAAATTACGTCGAAACGCTCATTTCAAAAAAAAAATGCATTTACTCGTAAATATAGATATCGATATACGTACCCTCAAGTCTTTTAAAAATTTGGAATCCATACCACCCTCGAACTTTTAAAAAAATAAACAAAAAAAAAATATTTCATGTATTTATAATTTTTCTTTGTTAAAAGTATGATTTAAATTGAACTTTTTTCACATTGCATAGTATTTTTGTTGATGATAGCTTATCAAATTATCTATTTTGTAAGAAATAATAAATAAAGTTAAAAATATAAGAATTAAACAAAAAAAAAAAATAAAGTAGGAAACCAACATTCAAAAATATAACAATCCAACTAAATCATTAAATTGATTTACATTTTAGAGTATCAAAGAGTAAATAATTATACATATTTTTAAAATTTTATCTTGAAATGTAAAATATAAGGATTGTTATATATTTTACAACAAATGAATAATATTATTAGTTTAAATCAAAATAGCATTTCTTTTTTTTTTCGCAACGATAGAATGCATTCATTAAAACACATAATTACAATCGGCTCACTAGCCGGAATGGGAGGACAACCCAAGGAATTGGGTAGCCTAAGAACCACAACGCACACTACAACACGAATAAGAAAAAAAAAAAACTCCCAACAGGAGAATACACAGGCTCCCAACAGGAGAATACACGAACTCCCAACGGGAGAATAACAAAATAGCATTGAAAATAAGTTTAAGTTATTTACATATTTTTTTTAAATACTTTTTGCATATTATCCCTTGTATATATAATTTTATATATATATATATACAAATATAATGAATTTAAAAAAAAAAATATCCCTTGTATATATAATTTTATATATATATATATATATATATATACAAATATAATGAATTTAAAAAAAAAATGAGGGGGGCCCACGGCCCCCCTGGACCTCATATAGGTCCGTCGTTGTGCATACACAAAAGATGAATTGTTCGTAATTGAGCTCGATTCGACTCGACTTGACTCGTTTATTAAATGAGATTGTTCACTCGTTTAATCGAATTAGCCCGTAATTAGTAAGTACAGAATCTTCCAACAGCTTTTGGTGACGACAATATTGCTCTTCACTAAAGTTGGAAGCTTCATCCATATTCTTTTTTTTTTTTTTTTGGTTCTGTAAGCACTACAGCACCGCCATTTTATATTCGCTTTTACCTTTTTCCATTCTTCATACTCTTTAATTTGCGCCCTCTCTCTCTCTCTTTCATCATCAAATAAATTTACAGGCCCCTCTGTTAGTCCCAATAATAAAAATTTGGCAAAATTGTATTTTTAATTCTGCTAGTTTAACGCCATAGTATTTTTAATTTCAAGATTCTAAAACTTTTTGTTTTTGATCCTGTAATTTAGTATTTTGCTACAATTTCAATCATTGGGAACTAAAATTGCAACAAAATTTAAAATTACAGGACTTAAAATTGCTACTAAAAAAAATTATCCCAAAAAGATTTTTTATTAACAATTTAAGTCTTGTAAATTAGAATTTTTACGTTGAATTTTTAAATCATAGGACCAAATACAAAAATGTTCAGATCTTAGGACTAAATTAAAAACGCTACTGAATCAAATCAACAAGACTAAAATTACAATTTTGCCTAAAAATTTGGGGGGCCAAATTGATAGAGGAGATGATTATAAAGGGATAAATACGTAAATGGTAAAGGAGGATATATAAAGGTTGGGATACTATTTGTCCGCGCGCTTTTTCCAACCCAAACTCTTGCATGCAGCATATATGCATGTTCACTGTATTCTCTTTCTTTTTCTCTCTTTTCTTGTTATTTTGTTTTTCCTTTTACTTTACTACAAAGAATATATATTGTAAAAGTTGTGGAGAGAGACGGATATATATAACTAAAATTAAGATTAACTTAGACTGAAAAAAAAAGGTAAAAG